ACCTGTTGATCAAAAATAGCCTTAAACCTATACACTTTTTAAAATTTTTTATTTAGTAACTTTCAGGAGGGTGTACTCATTTTTGCAACACAACATTTTATCAGTTTGATAAGAAAATCTTATTTTGCTGAATAATTTTGCCATTCTTCTTTGGTAATTGATCGAGCAGGCTTGTTGGAACATTACATCTCCAAAGAACCCTAACATGTCTTCTAAGTAAAGAGTAATTGCTGAATTTGTTAAGTTTTAGAGGGGGTGTACTCATTTATGCTGTGCACTGTATATATATTTGTCATAATTACTACTTTTTATCTCAGAATTTTGACTTTTTGTGTCTTAAGGTTAATGGATTAATGGATAAAATCAAGTCCCGCCCTACACGTTTAATTTCACATAAAAACACTTCACATTGTGAAAGCAAAGCGAGTTTACATGTTTGACGTTGACATGTTTCTTTATGTGTGGATGTAAGAGAGAAAAATTTACTTATTTTAATGCTGCAATATAGTCCTCCAAACTCAATCCCAGCATGCCCTTGTGCTGACTGCCCTAGCAAATAACTCTGAAAACTGCTAGAAAAGAGCATTTACACCAGATTTCTGCTCTCGCAGTTCGGTTGCATAATGATATTGATAGTAAACATGTCTGTGGTTCATTTCATACACCAATGAATCGGCTTGTTGTGCACTGGATATGGCATGCGGTGTTCAACTGAACAGAATAACTATTCTCTTCCCCAGAAGGCAGTTCAGTCATGTGTACAGTGCAGAGTGGAATTATGGGATATATATTATGTGAATAACATTGTTTTCTGCAGTCTGTACCATGTTACTTGTCATTAAGCAGATCCCATCGACAACAAATCTTGTTCAATCCATCTTCAAATGTGACGGAGGGGGGGATTTTTTTAATCAAATAATTACTAATATTTTGATCTGTTCCTCACACAAAGATATTTTATGACTAGAGAAGACATGGAATATAGTGCAGAAGCCATATGGACTACTTTTATGGTATCATTTTTGGTGTTGTTTTGTCTTTCCACATGCGATTAAATGATGACAAAATGTTCATATTTGGGTGAACTTTTGCATAGCCACCAGAAATTGGGACAAAATCTGCATTTCTGTGTAATTTATGCAAATATATCACTGCTCTCAGTATGATAAACTAGTATGTGTAATGTAACATACAGCGAGAGAGTCACTGTGTGCAGAGCAGCCTGGCCTTAATTTAAACAGGCCCCACTGAGTCTGACAGCCCCCCCTGTTTACATGAATAAAATCGGAAACAAATGTGAACACAATCACCCCCTCCTCCACACACACACACACACACAGACATATCATCATCAGGCCACAGCTCTGTATCACTGTGCAGGATGATTGTATCTCCAAGAACCTGATGGTCTTCTTGTGAAAAGACGGGAACATAAAGAGAGGGAAAAAATACATTTTGTATTGCCTACAAACTAATGTTGCAAACACTAAAAATATTCCCTAATAAAGCTATATATTGTCTATTCATCTACTCCAGCCCAGACCCAAGAGACAGAAAGAGACTCAGTTTTATGGCCAATTCTCCTTTTGTGAATCTCACAAAAATCCCAGCATCAAAATGAAAAGCGTTAAGAAATTATTTTAGGATCTTGTTTTAGGATCAAAAAGTTTTTTTTTTTGCATTGTGTCATTACTTTCTTGACAATTACACACATTCATCTCCTAAACTCTCATTACCGTAACATACTTGGACATTTTGTCATTCCTATTCTACAAGATGCTGATTCTTATTAGATTCTCATTACTGTAATTTGTTTGTGTATTACAGTATAAATACTGTAATTCATTTATTATTAATTTTTTTTATTTAAAGGGGTGATGCTGCTAAAAAGAACATTATTTTGTGTATTTGGTGTAATGAAATGTGTTTATGCGGTTTAAGGTAAAAAAAACACATTATTTTTCCACATACTGTACATTATTGTTTCTCCTCTATGCCCCGCCTTTCTGAAACGCGTAGATTTTTACAAAGCTCATCGGTCTGAAAAGCGAGGTGTGCTCTGATTGGCCAGCTATCCAGTGCGTTGTGATTGGCCGAATACCTCAAGCGTGTGACGGAAATGTTATGCCCCTCACCATACTGTGATGCTGTGTCCCGACCAGTAACACTTCAAAGAGAAAGGAAAACTTGAAATCTCATCATATGACCCCTTTAAATCAGCATAAAACAGTACAAAACCTGCCATGTAGTATTTAATACTACACAATAATAATAATAAATAGTATTAAGGTAATGACAATAAATTTTTTTTTATATATAATTTTTTTTTCTTCCATTTCATAAATGAAAGGTTTCAGTTTTTGCATAATGGTAATAAAATTAGGGATTTTTTTTGCATTATGGTAATGAGAAATTCATATTTTTAGCATTACGGTAATGAGGATTTAGGGGGAAAAAAGAGCTAAAATGTCATGAAAAGGAGAAGCACATATGCATACAATGTTAATATTCAGAGATAATGTAGTCAAGCAATCATTATGGCAAAAAGTGATCAGAATTATTTTGATGTAACTGGTTGACCATATATTATCAAGCCTGTTACATGACTACTTATCAGACAAAAAAAATAATAAATAAAGGGAATTAATTATTTGATGGTGTTTGCATGAATTATTTAACCATTTTGTGACATAATTAGTATGCGTTTGTGTACATATATATATATATATATATATATATATATATATATAAATACATAAATATATATGTGAGTGTGTGCATGTGTGTGTATACACATACATACATACATACATACATACATAAACACACACAGACAGATAGATAGACAGACAGATAATGCATGTTTGTTAACTTATGCAAATATGGGTATTAGCATGAATAAATAATGAGTATGTGTGTCTGAGGCTGGTACTGTAAATTACAGCTCTAAGAGATGAACAGACAGAAAAGACACTGCTTGTGTACAGCACATCTCCATGGTAACAGAGATGGGCAGCAATTCCTTGTGTGCTTCCATAGTTACATGCCACATATGAAGAAAAACGACTGTTTCTCTCTGTAACACACACACACACACACACACAACTGGCTTCAGTCCGCTTAAAAGACTCACTTTAACCGTTGAGTTATAAATCAATTTTCTTTATTTAAATCAGTGGTCTGGCAGTACAATACAAACAAAACAAAAACCAAAAAGCAGAAAACAAACAAACAAAATGACCACAATACCCAAACTTGGCACTGGAAGAATGCGTGAGTGAATATATACAGTTTGTTCCATGTGTGAATGTGTACAAACACAGAAACATCACTGATCCAGCTTCCAAACGGCTGTCACGAGTACAAACACTAAAATTATTAGCATCATTAACAATACCGTCATTATTATGTCATTCATATTACAAACAGGCAGTAAACCGTTACATCACGGGTGCCTACGGTCTGGGAATGAAGCGCATGACCCAGAAACACCCGTCGGGCGTCAGCGAGGCCCTTCGTTCCCAGACTGTTAGATGCAACTCGACTAGGACATGAAACCAATAGCAAAGAAAAAACATGAACGCAAAACCATAAAAAAAGCAGCAAAGAGAACAATCGTGAGACTCAAGCGCCATTGCGACTCACTGGAACACTAAATGAATGAGCTGATGAAAAGGATGCAGGGTCATTGCAATGGAATGAGCGACGCGCTAAGTGAAGTGATGGATGGATGATGCACATGTGTGACATGCATGAGCAACGACTAAACACACTGCTGATGTTTTAAGGCCGATTCTCCGTGTGTGAAGCTCACAAAAACTCACACCAAAATCAAAAAGAAAAGCAATCAGAATTACATTTGATCCTCCTTTTTTAGTATCATAAAGCTTTTTGCATTGCGACATTACTTTCGTAACAAATTAAACAGTCATCTTCAATATTCTCATTACCACAACACAACCCTGGACATCTGACTTCCTCTTATCCTACAGGATGGTGAATCGAATTATATTCTCATTACTGTCGTTTTTAGTGTATTACAGTACAAATACTCAATGATTTACTTTTAAATTTAAATCTGCATAAAAGACAGTACAACAAAACCTAACCAATTTTAAAAAGCATTATGTTAATGACAATACATTATTTATTCGAATTTCAGTGATGAAAATGTTTCTTTTTTGCATTATGGAAATAAAAATGAGGGATTTTTCTGAATTATGGTAATGCAAATTATTTTTTTTTAGCATTGCGGTAATGAGAATTTAGAATCAATAGTGCTGAAATGTCATGAAAATAATGTTACAATACAAAAAAAAAAAAGGTAGCATTTCTTTAAAAGAAAACTGCTTGTTACTTTCTTTTGATTTTGCAGTGAAACGTGACCCACACACATTTTAGCTAGATGCGGAAACGAGGCTCTCGATTGTACGCGAAACATGCAGCAGAACGTTATCACTTCCCTTTCAAATGCAGTCTGATATTCATTCAGTTTTTTGACGAAGGTCCCTTAAACTGATCCTGGAACTGCAGGCGGAATGACATGAACAGAGAGTCTATACGTGAAGACTTCCAAATACCAATTTTCACAACTAAAATGAGACTCTGCTCATCACGAGTGCATTCAAAGCATTCTCAGCGACATTATTTGACAAAAACACGCTCTTCAGATGTTCTGTTAAATGCTATTTGGAGAAGTTGGACCCGGTCGCTACTGCATTTGTTCTCTCTCTATTTTCAGGGTATCCAATAATGGAGTGTGCAGATGCTGAGATTAAAGCCAGAAAAAGACATCACGGGAAGTTAAAGAAAGAAAGTAGACGTTTCAGCAAAAGCAATCTGCCTTTAAAAGTACGTCTTTGTGTTTGATACTATTGGCCACGATTATATTCTGCTTTTTTTTTTTATTAGCAAATTGGCTGGAGCGATTTTTATTCTTCCTACAAAAACAATTTTATTACCAAAGAAGGTTTTTTTTTTCTTAAAAATACATCCTTTTATTGTTTTGTCCCTCTACTTACACAACATTCTCCTGTTTCTTACTCTTTTTTAGGGTCAATGTGAAGTCATAAGACGGACAGGTCATGATATGGTGATACATGAGGGATCGTTTGAGGATTAATTTTGGCAGCATAAACGATTTCATTCAATTTTTGTCTCGTGATGTGCAGCGGTGATATGAATCTTTACATTTGGAATGTCGTACAAACATTAAGCACTCTTTTTTTGGATTGCAAAGAAGTTCAAGTATTTGAAAAACCGTTGTTCTCAAGTATATCCTCATAAACTGAAGAAAACCTTTGTGTGTTTACACTGCCAAAATGCCACCGTGTGACTGGGAGTGTGAGTGCAATGTTGTGTGTGTGATTTATCTAACGGTGACCCCCAGCTTCTCCAGAACGCGTGTGCCCTTCTCCTGGTACTCCTCTCTGGTCATCCAGAAGTTGTCTTTGTCCTTCATGATGTCGGCTAGCACCGCTCCACCCAAAAACACCATGTGTTTACGGCGTGGAGGATCCTCGATGCGGATCTTAAACTTCTACAAAAGCAGAAGCGAAGACACATTCAGTAAAACAGCTGTACAATGCATTAAATCATTACATTATAAAACTCAAAACTACAGCAGGATTAGAAATCGCCTGTGTTGTAGTATCAACATACTATTTTAGTTTTTATGTATATTTGTAATTAGTTTTTATTTGTATATTTTCCATTTTCAGTTTAAATGTAAAGTTTTAGTTGTGCTATTTTTTTTTATTAGTTATTGTTTTCTGGAACATAATCTTTACTTATTGTCCTAATGATTTTTGGCATAAAAGAAAAATCAATAATTTTGACCCATACACTGTATTGTTGGCTATTGCTACAAATATACCTGTGCTACTTAAGACTGGTTTTGTGCTCCAGGGTCACATATATGCCTGTATAGTTTATGAATGTTTATTTCGGTTTTAGTTATTTTAGTACAAGTTAGTCAATGAAAATGAGAAATAAAATAAAATTAGTTTACTTTTTTTTTTTTTTACACATTTTATTTGATTTCAGTTAATGTTTACTCTATTTTAAGTAACAAAGCTTTTTCATTTAGTTAATGTAGTTTAGCAACTATAATAACCCTGGAAATCCAACAAACTTTATAATTTGGAGGCAAAAATGCTCCAGTAGGGATTTTAATATAGCTAACATTTGATTATATTTTATTGTAGTAGACCTATCTAGTTATCAGTTTAGTGCATCTGCAAACATCACAGTGACCTTTTACATGGTTAGAAACTGCTGAAGGAATTGCAACATTGCTAACTAGTCAGTTAGAAGTGAATATCATCACCTACATCCTAGAGATGGTCTAAGTCTGTATTACAGGTTAGTAGTGGTTAAAGAAGTGTTGTTTGTACCGAGAGCTTGTCGACATCTCCCTTCAGCACTCTCTCCAGGTAAAGCTGCTTGAGCTCACGCTCCAGACGAGACGGCAGACCAGGATACATCGTAGAACCACCCGACAAAACGATGTGTTTGTAAAACTCAGCCCTGACAGAGACAAACACGTGTGAATATCACATACAAATATATATGATATACTGACAATATTATAGTTAGAATTTATTATCAACATGTCTAGGATTTCAAAGATTTAAACAAGTTATTTTCTATATATTTTTTTTTTATATTACACGATGCTTTGTAAAACACAGTCTGAGACAAACAATAGACAAAAATAAGATAATATTTGGCACAATATATGTAACAGATAAAGAAATATGTAATGCACCATACTTTAAATTACAATTATATATATATATATATATACACATACACACACAAACACATATACATAAATATATATATTAACAGATAAAGATACAAATATAAAGATAATAATGATAATAACCTCAAACTATAATGACAATATATAATAAAGATATGTCATAAGTAATATTTAAATTTTTTATAATATATAAATATAATATATTGTAAGAGATAAAGATATAAAAATAAAGATAATAATTA